TCTTATTTCTTGTAGGAATGTAGTCCCTTCAGCTATACATTTTGAAATTTAATAGTTGAGTTCATGAGTCAATTAAAGCTAGACTACTATGGAAAACCTGGAAGCGCTGCACGACCGTTTCGTCCTATCGTGGGGCTCCCCAGCAGTGTGTATCCACCATCCCGCCTCGCGAGATTCGAATTCGACCTAACAGTATGGAGCGCGAACGCTTAACCTCTAGGATAGTGAGTCGGCCGGCATCCAACGGTGTTCATGTCTAACTCCAACTAATCCACGAAATTGAGCGACACATTCTCCAATGTCTTCAGTGAGTTACTATCTCACAACAGACCCGGTTGAACTCCATTGGCCACTGCTTCTCACCAGAACTTCAGGAATTACCTCTTGAAGCCAGTCACTAGTGAGCATATGTTGATCTATAGGTCTACAGGCTAAGCAAGGTGAAATCGTGGATGTGCACTACTGAGGAGTCCCACAATAGAAATAAACGGCCGTTCACTGCTTCTAGGTGGTCTAGTTTCAATTGACTCATGATCTCAACTATTGATATAATTTTTAGTTTAAGTGAAAGTTTGTTGGGGAGATCAAGAAAATTCCTCGATCAAAAAAACCCCAAAAGTGGCTCTGAAAACGCTAAGAAATATTTTATCCAATCAGTATTCAGTAAATTTTTGTCAGAAACATCTAGAAAGTGAAAAGTCATTTGTCGAGTTTCTGATTGGCTGATTAACTATACTGCTACTATGTTTAATAGTGTTCCAGAATTTTCTGAAAACTCAAGGACATCTAAAATGCCATAGATTTTCTGTACATAAAGCGTTCTGTTCCATATCTTGCACCTTTTCTCTCGTGTTCTAGTCGTTGTGTAGATTTAGCCCGGGGGTTACTTGAAGAGCTTAGTAAACCGAATCTAGAGTTCAGTTAGAAGACTTATCAATTTCTCATTCATTTTAAATAAAGTTACGTGAGATATTGAATTATGAATACGTTTGTATCAGAAATCGTTCAATTTATTATTTTGATACAACCTAAAACTTGACTATAGTTTTGAATATGATAGAAGGAACAAGTAATCAGTTATGTGTTTAATCTTGTCTTCTATTTTTGACTCTTACCTTTTGATTCCATGACTTAATCATTTGGCTTCATACTATACAATAATTGTGATCTAATTCTGGATAAATATTGTTTACAATCTACTTTCAAATCAAATGAAATAAATAAAAGTAGAGAGGATTTTATTCTTCCAACATTCCAAATGTAAACTATTAAATTTATAAGGCGAGACTCTAATTTATGGATGAGCCAGTCAGAGGCGTTTTAGAGATTTCAAGGTTATGACGCCAACTTCAGTGCTTGATGCTAAAGTACGATCGGTTCACAGGGAATTTTGTACAAAACATGATAATTGAGCGGTTGTAACAAATAAAACGGCAAGACTATAATTTGCGGACGAATCAATCAGGTCAAAGATAATAGATCTCGGATTTTAACGCGAAAGCCTTTCATCCATTTGGCTAAATAAATCTCTGGCATTATAGCTGATGTAAGTTCGTGATGAAAACCCTATATACAATTCCTAACTAAGGCAAATTACTACAATTATTGCGAACTGGATAATAAAAGCACCCGTAACACTGGCTGCAGCCAGGTACTACAATATGCACGGATGTTTGCAGAGCGTACAGACTCCGACATAGGCTTGGTTATGTGCATCGTGTCGTTATCCACAAGTCGCATTTTGTGCACTCAACAATCTGAGTGCACATAAATAATATTGAAGCTATTTGGTCAAGGCTGAAAGAGTTTTTGAGACTTTATCATGGCTACAGAGGCCGACTATTCTGTAGCCGTATGGATGATTTCCTCTACTGCATGCATTATGATTTCAGAACCTCTTTCTAATCTTGACAAATTTTTGAACCACGTATAAGAAGTGTATCCACTTTATTGCCTTGGTTTTGTAAAACATATTTTAACTCTATACTGACTGTTTGGTGATTGGGTAATATTTCTCAAGGTCGCTTGAGACTCCTTCAAAAGGTCGTTCATAAATTAGAGTCTCGCCATTTATAGTTATCTAATACAGTATATTTAATAGAATATTGGTCAAATGTTCCAGATTCAGTCATGAGATGTTGGAGAAGATTTATAGCTCAAGTGGATAATTTTGATGGAGTTTTGTTCTCTGAACTGGATGGTTTGGTCGTTCAGAAGAACGATGAAAGCTCCACAACCAAACCTTCCAGCTCAGAGAACAAAACTCTATCAAGATTCAGTCATTTATAGCATTGTGATGGAATACATCTGTTGTATACCAACCAACCTAAAATAAAAACATTTCGCACAACTTCTTAACTTTCAATTACATAAAAACACAAACCAATTTATGGTATAAAATAACATTAGAATCCGAGACTCATGTCATGTCCTATGTGAGACTCATCAGTTGAATGTTCACCCTAGAATTCGAACCCAACATTGTCCACGCTAAGCATTATCGCGTTACCCACTTAGGTACTGAATTCAAATAGTCACTGGCTTATACAATGAAATGAATTTCAATGTTAATAAAGAATACGCATAAGACTGATCATTTTCAATCCTTAAAGATCAATAAGAAGATTCAAACAATCAATATAAACATAAATTAAAATGAGCGCTATATGTATTTAATGTTTTACAAATTCTATACCTGTCTAAACGTATCTCATAAATTTATAACAGAATATACATCTGATGAGGAAATGTTTCTTGTTCTATCCAGTTATGTATGTAGAATAGTGAGTTTATTACATGAATACGAAATAAAAGTATAATAATACAAAAATTATTTGCTCATAGGTTTATACTGTGAAAATTACTCACTAAAGAGGCAACTCTTAAATACATTGACGTATATAACTCTGTACTTATAATAGTAACTTTTTATGTTTTATGTATAACTGGCAAAATTATATGATAGCAACAACCTTAAGGGAACCAATCAGATTTGAGATAGTGCTTGTCAATTTTCCCATAAAACGATCTTTTAAAAAGAAACAGGAAGAATAGTATGTATCTGATTATAAGAAAACCCAGATAAAACTTGTCTTTAATTAGATTTTAAAGTGATTATATTTGTTAAAAACTAGTTTGATGCAACTATATAATGAATTTGATATGGTGCGTGTACTAAATTAACAGAAATACGTACTCTATTATCAGATTGTATCTCAAAGCAGATGATGTGAATCATGATGTAATCAATGATAGCTTCATGATGATAAAGTATTCTCAAACTCTTACTACATATTCTAGCTCTAGCACTCCGTACATTAATTCCCTAAGCCCGATGTATTAATCCTGACACTACTACCCCTAATTTCTTACGTTGGCACTACTAACTCTAAGACACCTAACCCTATCACGTTTGACTTTAACTGGACTCTTGATCTTTAGTCGTAACCTTTCTTCGTTTATTAATAATAATGTTGGTTCTATATTGCTATTTAACTATGTAGAGCTGAAGGTCTCATATGAGATTGGAGGTTCATCATTGATATTGTAGATGGTTCGGCATTACTTTGGCAAGTTTTACTGACTGGTTTGCTGGTTAACCGATTTCATCCATACTGGTGGGTGCTTTTCAGCGTTCGGTTTCGCATGCGAACGCTTAACCACTAGACCACTCAGCCGTTCGCCATCCAACGGTGTTAATGTCTAATTTTAACTAATCCATGAAATTGAGCGACACATTCATTATTTTCAGTGAGTTACTATCTCACAACAGATCAAGTTGAACTCCATTGGTCACGACTTCTCATTAGAACTCCAGGATATACCTCTTGAAGCTAGTCACTAGTGAGCATATGTTGATTAGTATCAGAAGGGATTTTGTCCATATTATGGTAATTTATTAAAATAGTTGAGATCATGAATCAATTGAAGCTTGATCACCATGGAAAACTTGGAAGCATTGGACAGCCATTTCGTGCTATAGTGGGGCTCCTGAGCAGCGCACATCTACGATACAGCCCGATGAGATTCGAATCTAAGACCTATCAGTCTTGCGCGCGAATGCTTAAAACCACTGACTATATAATTATCTGAGGGGTTTTGTGGAGATTGTAGTAATTTCAACAGTTGATATCATGAGTCAATTGAAGCTAGACTGGCTTCAAGAGATATATCCTGGAGTTCTAGTGAGAAGCAGTGACCAGTGGAGTTCAACCGAGTCAGTTGTGAGGTAGTAACTCAGAATTGATTGATCACTGGGTGGTGATCAATGTCATGCTTGTCTAGTCCTTATTAGTGCAGACCGAATGCTATCAATCATGTTGCAATGTGGCCACCAGTCTAGGTGACTCGACACTGCGGGCACTATGTATTGAGATTAGATGGTGGCTGGAGGTAGTCAACAGGAAACCCTGTACCCGGGTTTCGTGCTACTTGGCACTCGTCAGCAAAGTGTACCTGTAATCTTGAGGGAACTGGTGCTCCCTGGCGGATTCGATCTCGTGTTACCCAGCTTCACAGTTAGAGGCGTTACCACTGAGCTATCCGAGCAGCAACTGACCTCCTGTAGGACTGAGATGTAATCATAATAGATTGATCACTGGGTGGTGATCAATGTCATGCTTGTCTAGTCCTTATTAGTGCAGATCGAATGCTATCAAACTCACTGATGACAATGGTGGATGTGTCGCTCAATTTCGTGGATTAGTTGAAGCTAGACATGAACACCGTTGGATGCCGGCCCAGTGGTTTAGTTGGTTAAGCGCCTGGCGCAAGACTGATAGGTCCTGAGTTGGAATCCCGCTAGACGGGGTCGTGGATGTGCACTGGTGAGAAGTCCCACAATAGGACGAAACAACCGTCCAGTGCTTCCAGGTTTTCCATGGTGGTCTAGCTTCAATTGACTCATGATCTCAACTGTTGAAATATAATTATGCAATTCAATCACACATATATATATATATTTCTATATATAAAGTTATAAATTTACTTACATTTTATAGATTTAACTACATTATTATTCTATATAAAAGAAAAGAAACCTTATCAAGATTACAATATGCTTCAACCGGATGAACTTGATGCAATAGAAAAATTAAATGAATTATGTGAAAAAGAAGAAAAATTAGATAAACAACCATTCAAAAAAAATCATAAAAATCATCATCATGAACATCATCATAATAATAATAATTTATCATCTGTATTTCGTTGTAGTGATACACGTACATTGAAAGCAATAAAAAATGTATCAAAAGATGAATTCAATACTACTACTAATACTACTGATACTACTCCTACTAATACTACTACTACCAATACTACTACTAATAATAATCATAATAATAGTAATATAAATGATAATCATTTAATACCAACTGGTTTACCAAGAATTCAAACAAAAATTACGGTTAAAATATTAAAATATGATTGTTGTATTACAGTAATATTAGATCCAACAACTAAATTAAATACAATTAAAGCGATGTATGATTTAAATGAACAACTTATTATTATTGGTTATCAACGTTTAATTACATTAAAAACATTAGATCATTTACCAATGAAATTTAATGCAATTATTGAACAAAATAATAATTTAAATTATGATTTAACAACATATGTTGAACATAGATATAAAGTAAATTTAAATATGTATTATTTAAATTCAGCGCGTGTAAAACAAAAAAATAATATTGTTTATATTATTATACCGCGGAAAATTTAAATATATATGTATATATATATATATATATATATATATATATATATATATATATATATTCAATCATCATCATCATAATAATATAAATATATATCCTCGTCCCCACCCCTCATATCTTTTTGTTGTTGCTATGACTGGTATTGAACGATTTCAATGGTTAATGTTGTTACCAAATATGATACATCAATTGAATATTGAATAATAGATGTATTAGGATGGTCAAATTTCATTTTTTTATTATTATATCATACCGCTTGTATATGACTTAATTTTCTTTATATTGATTGTTTACACTTCATTAGGTCTTCTTTTTTGTGTTAAAATGAAATATGTTGTAATCAATTTTACATGATAATATAAATTGGATTTCGAAAGTTGTAATTGTCCAATTTCAGATAATAAAAAACGTTTCTTTTTGTAAAGATTAGTTGTTGTTTCTTCTTATCTCAATATATTCTATCTGAATGTGAATTATTTACATACTTACTTATGATTATTACACTTTGTAGATTACTATAAGCAGCTCACCAACATTATCCATCCAATTTTGTTATAGACAATCCTCTAGAGTTGTTTCCAGTTGATATTTATCATTTTTATGTCTACTTCTAATTCTCTACGTAGTATGTGTATTCTTCGAATCTCCTGTTTTCCGTTTCCCTTCACGATTCCTGGTAGTAAGCGGTTGGTTCATGTTGCAGTTTGATGATTTCCGTAATGTATGTCATATACACCAACTTCATAATCTCTTTCTAACTTCCTCCTCATCTGAAAGCTGGTTTGTTATCTCCCACAATAGGCTGTTGCTGATGGTTTTCATATAACGGACATTGAGTATCTCGCATGGACAAATGTTCATAAACACCTATACCTTTTTGATGACGGTTGTGGAAGTTTCAGCCATGTACAGTAGAACTGATTGTGTTGACGCTTGTATTGAAGATTGTAACTTTGATATTGGTTGACAGACAGTTGTTTTGAGCTGCATATTTTGTTTGTTCAATTGTATGAATGCTGTCCTTCTTTTGCCAATCCTCTCCTTTACGTCTGCATCCGATCCTCCTTGTTCATCGATGATGCAGCTGACCAGATATGTGAAAGATTCCACCTGTTCTAGAGTTTGAATTACTTTTCCTGGTTAGCGTTCTAGAGTTTCTCCATCGAGTGTGATTACGTTGGTTTTCTATGTGTTGCGTTTGAAGATCATCATTTCTTCTTTGTGTACATTGAGACCTACTGATACGGATGCTGCTGCTACACTGTTTGTCTTGACCTGCATTTGTTGGTGTGTATGAAATAGAAGAGCCAGGTCATATACGAAGTCAGGATCGTATAGTTCCTTGCAAGCTGTTAATTATATTCCGTGCTTTCCGTCACATGCGGAAGTCTTCATAATTCAGTTAACCAGAGAAAGTGGGGGAGTAGGCAGCCTTGTCTGACTTGGAATGCATCTGCAAGCTGCCGTCCATGCATCACTTTGCAGTGTAGTCAGTCGTATAAATTCCGTATGATATTGACGATTTTCTCAGGTACTCCATAGTGTCGAAGAAGTTTCCATAATTTTTCTCTTATCCTCATTGTCTGATGCTTTCTCATAATCAAGAAAGTTGATGTACGGTGACGAGCTCCACTCAACTGATTGCTCAACGATAACCTGTAGTGTCGTTATTTGGTCTCTGCACAACCAATCTTTACGGAATCCCGCTTGTTGATCTGGAAACTGGACGTCTACTGAATCATTCATCCGGTTCAGCAACACTCTGTTGAAAAAGTTCCTTGGTACTGAAAGTAGTATGATTTCTCTATAGTTCTCATACTTGCTCAGATATATTTTCTTTGTTATCTTGATGAAGTGTCCTTCTTTCCAGTCTGTCGGCAATTGTTCCTCCTCCCAGATCTTCCTGAATAGAATGTGGAGCATGTTTTAAGTTGCCTAAATGTCTGACTTTAGTGCTTCAGCTGGTATAATGTCTGGTCCTGCTGCTTTCTCGCACTTGATGTCTCATGGCCGTGCTGATTCCTCTGATCGTTGATGGAGTGACATAAATAGGAATGTCTGTGTGTTACTTCGATGTTGGGTGGATTCAGTGGAACTGGTCTATTCAAAAGTTCCTGAAAGGGTTCTACTTATTCGTTCCTCTGTTCTTGAATCTCGGTGATTGGCTTATCTTAATTGTCCTTGGTCGGTCTCTATGGTTTACTATATTTCCTTACCAGTTTCTTCATTGACACTTAGTTGTCTAATATTTCCTTCTCTTGAATCATTTTCTACGTATTTCTGCTTGTCAGTTTCTTACTTGCTTGTTTGTATAAGTGTGTATTCATCTTTTGCCTTAACTTTCTGTTTTTCTTGGACTGATGTTGATTACTGCTTTCTTATTCTTCATTTTGAGTCTTTTCCAGAATTTCCATAGATTCATTCCTTATGATGATGCTTGTTGCGACCCAGAACCTCCTGACAAGTTGAAGTTAGTGCTTCTTTGATTCCTTTTCAGTTGGTCTCCATATTAAATTTCAGATCTCTGAGTAGATCTAGTAAGACTTGGAACCTGTTACTGAGAGTTATCTTGAATTCATTCTGTTTGTCAGTATCCAGGAGAAAGGCTGTATTGAACCTTTGTAATACTATTTCTCCAGTTGTCTAGTACTTCTTTAGATTCAGTTTTATCATGAAAACCAACAGTTGATGGTTATACGAAGTCATGTCAACTCCATTCCTGCTTCTCACGTCTCCCACTGACCATCTGAATTTTTTAGTGATGCAAATATGATCAGTTTGATTCTCTGTAGAGTGATCCGGTGATACACATGTAACTTCATCTCTGCGTTCGTGTGGGAATATTGAGTCGCCTATAACCATTTTGTTGAAGGCTTATAGACTTGCAAATCTATCACCATTCTCGTTCCTTTCTCCTAGATCATGTCGTTTCCATACCACATTAGCACACACATACAATTGTCCATTCGAATCCCATAGTGGTAGAGGTAGTAAAAGTATAAGCAGTAATCGGAAACATTATGGTTTCAAAATGTTATTCAGGGAGTATAATCCAGTGAAATAAATTTGGAAAGAGAAAAAAGAAAGGGACATAAAGAATTCAGAAGACTAGAATTTGGAAGAACACAAGGAGTAGATGCACCTACTCCATTGCAAACGATTTTGAATCATGTAATTCAAGGTCTCTAACCATCGGTTGCTATCATCTCGCGGATCCCAACCAGGTAGTCTACACCTACCAACATCACTCAGACCACTTGTCAGTGACTTCATAGACTTGTGTCATGTTTTGATCTGGCCCCCTTTAGCTTTCTTCCAACCTACACTATAAAACATCGCACGTCTGGGTAGTCGGTGGTTGGGTATACGTAACACGTGTCCCATCCATCTCAACTGATGAAGTTTCACTACCTCATCAATTGATTTGCCATCCTTACCTAGTACCCGTTTCCTAACAATTGAATTACTTACGATGGTCCCAGGATATACGAGCAATGTTTCGAAGACATCTATGATCGAATAATAGTAACCTAGAAAAATCCTCTCCTCTTACCGATCATGTTTCACAGTCATAAAGTAGGATGGAACGGACTGCTGCGCAGTAAACACATTCTTCGGTTGGTGTCGGATATCTCGCCTATGCCATAAATGACGCAAGTTGGCAATAGTTGCCTAACTTTCGTTACTAATGGAGTTAGATTCTACCATTTGGTCCTCATTATAAAACAAAAGTATACAATATAAACCTCTCAATTCAATTAATTTTTAGGAAACAATTATGTTCAGAGAACTAGGAATATTTTGAAAAGTGCTGTTCAATTCGATAGTTTAAAAGAATTTGAAGTAATATATGACCGCCAGGAAGTCGAATTCGAAGTTAACAGAATATGTTCTACTTTGATTAAGAAATAACCTTTTAGTGTTCATATTTATTTCTAAAATATCTTCATGGTGATTATAATGATGTAAACAAAACAAGAATTGTGTACACCGAAAGTTTACGCACAAATTTTAAACTCATAATTGACTAACTAAAAATTCATCTATGTAACCCTCCACATTTGGCTGTTTATGACACAACTAGACCATGAACTATAAATCTTATGTGAAACAACGAAATGTTTTATTTATTTATTTGAGCACATAAATATTGGTACAAGAGAGCGCCAATATATATGCGCCACACAAAACAATGAAAATTCGAAGAGAGATAGAAAAAAAAACTAAGGAGCACAAAAGAAAAAGAGAACGATAACAAAGAGATTGGTGAAAGGTAGTGCGGTCGTAACGATGGAACGGAAAGGTGCAATCAGAAGAAATCTTTCAAGTAAGGGAGACACAACCACTTTATGAGGAAAGTAAAAGAAGTAAAGCAGCAGGATCGCCACTGGCTTCTATTCTGAGTCATATCTGATAACGTCTCTAGCCACTGTGTAGCACCATCTCTCGGACCCCAACCAGGGAGTCGTGAAGGACCAACACAAGCCAGTCCTTTACAGCTTTCTTTCATGCCATGACACCATGTCATGCACTGACCACCTCTCCGCTTTTTCCAACCAGTCCCAGAGTCGGCAAATGATGCACGACGTGGAATTCTCTGGAACGACATTCTTAGAACATGTCCAAGCCACCGGAGTCGATGTTTCAAGATGGTGACATCGATTGCGTTATCATCTCTGTGCCCGAGCACACAAAGCCGAACCTCTGCATTATTGACATGGTGTTGCCACTGAATGTCAGCAATCCTTCGGAGACAGCGATGATCGAACACAGAGAGTCGTCTAACGTCCTCAACTCGGAGAGGCCAGGTTTCACAACCATAGAGCAAAACTGCTCTAACCGACGCGTTGTAGATCCGACCTTTTACAGGCAGACTAACATCACGAAGGCGCCAAAGGTGGCCCAGATTGGCATAAGCCGCTCTGGCTTTCGCTATACATGCATTGATCTCAGCACTCACATCCCCACCAGCACTTATGCAGCGACCCAGATACACGAACTTCTCGACTACTTCTATCTGCTCACCATCCAGGGTGAGTACAGGATTGGAATCCTGCCAGTCTTGTAGAAGTACTTTGCACTTCGAAGGTGCAAAGCACATACCATACCTACGGACACTGATTGTCAACTGATTAAGTGCGGATTGCATGCCTTGGGCATTATCGCACAGTAAGACAATATCATCCACATACTGAAGGTCGAGAAGTCTTTCTCCAGGCAACAGATCCACACCACCATTACTTACATCCATCAGAGTTGTTTCCAGAATGTCGTCGATGGCAAAGTTGAAGAGGAATGGTGAGATTGGGCAACACTGCCTAACCCCACTGTTCGAATGGGACAATGGAAAGAGGTGGTTGTATGCCTTTACTCTGCCTGAGGTGTTTGTATATAGGGCTTTTATGATGTTAATAAACTTCTCAGGCACATTCTTCTTCAATAGACAATTCCAGAGAACAGTCCTATCCAACGAATCGAAGGCAGCCCTGATGTCAAGAAACACTACGATTGTTGGCCTTTGATAAGTATGGCGATGTTCTAACATTTGGCAGAGGGTGAAGATATGATCAATACATCCTCGACCAGAACGAAACCCAGCGTGCTCCTCGCGAGTCAATCTTTCTCGGGTTTTGAACAACCTACGAAGTATGACGGAAGCCAATAGCTTGGACGTAATCGGAAGTAGACTTATCCCCCGATAGTTGTTGCAGGAACGACGTGAACCCTTTTTAAAGATAGGGACAACTATCGACTCATTCCATGACGTTGGTACACTCTCTAGTTCCCAAACCTTTGAAAACAACGTCGTCAATTCCTTAGTCAAAAAGTCACCACCATCTTTAAAAAGAGCCGGAGGTAAGTCATCTGGGCCAGGTGATTTGTAACGCTTCAAGAGTTGGAGTTCCTTGTGGACTTCCTCCTCGTTTGGTGGATCAGTCGTCACCGGCCATGGAGGGCAGGACAGTCTGACCGATGTTGCCGGAGCAGCGGGCCAGTTGAACTGCCCTTCGAAGAATTATGCCCATTGTCCAAGACGTCGATGGATGTTGGTGATTGGCATCCCATTATTCTCGCAGATTGTTTCATTGACACCAGACTTCTTGCTGCCGTTGGCTCGGATGAGTTGGAAGAGCTTCCGGTAGTTACCAGATGCAGCTGCTGCTTCCAGCTCATTAGCACGCTCCGACCACCAGGCTTCTCGGTCCTTACGCAAGCTTTGCCCAATTTCCCTTCGTAACATCCTTCGTTTATGGTCAAACTCACGGTCACCCGGAGTCGACCGACGGGCTTCAATAAGTTGTAAGGAACCAGAAGAAACCCAGTGCTTAAAAGCGGGACGTTTCGCAAACCCACAACTGACTGTTCCCGCCATTTTCATGGCGTCATGCAAACTGAACCATTATGATTTCATATTAAGGAGAGACCATAATTTATGGACGAACCAATCCCGTGTAAGATAACAGGTCTCGGATTTTGGTGCGAAATTCACTCATCCATTTTAGTAAATACAGTCTTGGCATTATAGCTGTTGTCAGTTAGTGATGAAAACCCTAAATTGAATTCCTTAACTTAACCACCAACTGCAAATCATAATTCTAATTCCTCACACTAATTTATAACCATCATTTGGTCCTAGTTATTACGTGGATACTATCAAAGTCACTTTAGCATCTCTCAAAGATCATCAATAAATTATAATTTCACCCATTTTAATTTGTGATGTTTTTTGACATCTTAACTGAGATTTGGTTAGTTTTAGTTGGAATGCAGTTACACATAGCTGATAAGTTTAAAGTAGCACGAAATGCAAGCTATGAGTTGCACTACAATCAAGATTCCATTTATTCGATGAATTATTATGATTTTTGTTGAAACATGATTTAAATTGCCCAGAAAAACCGTAAAATACTGAGTGATTCTTGTACTGAAAAACTCAAGAGGTTCAGAAACATCTATGAGGATTGAAAGAACCATAGGATCCTATTCCGATAGAAATAATGTGCATGAGATATCTTATGTTTTCCAGTTGTAAGACGAGGAATGATGAGGCGAGTGAATAGCTTATTTTAGTGGAAATGATTCGAATCTAAACAATGATGTGCTGTTACAAATGGAGAATATACAGTACGGGGTTCGCGCACGGGACTAAAGGCCCTGGGTTCGAATCCCGCGAGCGGGGTCATGAATGCGTACTGCTGAGGAGTCCCACAATGAGTCGGGGCGGCCATCCAGTGCTTCCAGGTTTACAACCGGGGTCTAACATCAATCGGTTCATGATCTCAATCAAAAAATTAGTGTAACTTGGAATGTTTATAACCTTAATAAGTATATTTGTCAGATAAATTACTAAGAAAATTCAATCAATCATTAACAACATTGAACTTAGTCTACGTTATCACACCTCATGTCATTTCAACAACAAGAAATCAACATGATGAGTAATAATGTCTAAACATGAGAACTACAATTCAAAAAGAAACATTACAAATGAAGATTAGATATTTAAGATAGAAAGTGTATACAACTTTATCATTATGAATTTAAATAGAGCAAGCACAAACATTGATGCAGAATAGTATGAATTCATATTATTTCGAGGTTTCTCGTCAGCTGCTTACAAACCAGAAATCTCGAAATAATATGAATTCATACTATTCTGTATCAGTGTTTGTTCTTGCTCTATTTAAATTCATAAAGGGAACCAATTGCATGAAATTTTATCATTATGACTGATATTACTCTACATCACATCTAATCACTGATTATAAACACTTTTTTTATTACAGGTCTTACTCAAACAATCTATATTTACTAATGTAGCTTAGACAATACAAGAAACGGCACATAGACAATACAAAGATAAAATCATTTATTTCTGATAATATAATTGAATAACAAACAACAAGAATGTTAAGCATTAAGTAGAAAAAAAAAGGGAGAATGAAAACCAATTCATCAAATAAACTGTAAACACACACACACACACAAAAGAAACAAACGTATATGCGCATAGATACCTATGAATAAATAGGAGAAAACAAAATACATATCACATAGTTTATTTGTAATTCAATTGGAGAAAAACAAACAAGCTTTCATATGTGTGTGTGTATTTATATGTATAATAATATATAAGACCAGGAAAAAAAAATAAACAAAGAATACATTCAGCATAATGTTTATATGAAATTCATTCTTTAATACAAATAGAAAACATTTTTTCATTTCATCTTTACAATTGTAGAAAGAAAGAAAGAGAAGAAAAAGAAAAGAGATAATAAAGCATAATGAATATATTTGATTGTAATAAAATGTAAACGATTTGTATAAATATATATCTTGACAACTATCATTTATACACTGATATAATAATACCTAAATCGATACATAGACAGACAGACAGTGAAAGAGACAAAAAAAATGAAAGTGAAGAAAAGATGGAAAGATGAAGTAACTAAGATGAAAACCAAAAAAATAAAAACCATTATTTTCACTATATAAAGCAAAAATGAATAGACCCGGTAAATCTATATTTCTATATATATTATTGCATGACATGATAATCAACAATAAATGATAACTAAATAATAAAAGTTTTCTTTAAGCATATATATAGTTATCATTGAAATTGTTTGTAAAAAAATAAATAAATATTTATTATTATTTTTTTTAAAAACTAATTGTTAGTAACCGGGTTATTTAAACAAATCAGCTTGTTAAAATACAATAAGCAATAAATTAGCTGATATTTAATTGTTATATAATAGTGAAACTTAATGGAGAGAAGGAGAGAGAGAGAAGAAGGGAGGGAGGGAGGTAGAGAGAGAAAGAGTAACAATGATAACTTGAGAAATGATCAAAATGATTATAAACGGTAACACAAAATTTAAAACAAAAAAGGGAGAAAGAAAGAAAAGAATTGAATAGACAATGAGTAAATCATATCGATTCAATCGTTATTCAACCCCATATAAATTAATACAAACAAACACACCTTGAAGAATAAGGTAAGATAATAATAATGATCATAGAGACAATGGGGACTTATTATGATGTAATATCTGAAAAGAGGTAATATGAATAATAATGCAAAAAAAAACAACAACAAACAAACCAAAACAACAAAAGCGATATTGTTAATGAATGATTTTATGTACTATATTGAACAATATGAACTTACTAAGCAAATAAATACAAGAGTGAATATGTACATTCTAGAAATATAAATATCTTTATATGAATTCATTTGATGATATAATGAAAGAGCTTAGGAAAGATCAAACGTTAGCATAGAATTACTCGATTTTCTTTGTAATATTATGATCAGAGGTATTTATCATTATTATTGTTGGTTAGTATATTAGTTGGTAATATATATATATATATATATATATATTAACTATTGGTAATCATGTTAACAACAAGTAACCAAATGTAAACAGTAGGAAAAAAAAGATAATGTTGTGGCTCCATCTTAACAGTTGACGAATTAATCAATAAAGTGAAAGATCTAGCAAGATGAGAAAACAATAGGTAACTGGTTTGGTTTTTTGTTCATATTATTCATTATTACTCTTTGTTATCATTCAATTTATGATTTTTATCATTAGAACTGTTAAAGTGACTTTCTTCTTGTTGTTTTTGAGATACTGTTTCCCCAGGCAATGTATTACATGATAATAATTGTCCGTATATTTGTCTACTGTTATTAACATTACTATTGTTATTATTATTACTACTCGCAGTAGTAATAGTAGTATAAGTAGTAGTAGCCGGTGGACCGGCAGTGATACATGTATGATTAAAAGTATCTAGACTGGGATCAACTATTGTACTAGTACTAGTCCTTGTTGTATCACGACTAATCATATATTCATGATTTGAAGGTAAACGATCCAGCTCAGGATCATCAGATGTTGACAGAGATGAAGAGGTGATACGACATAGTGATGTAATCAAATGGTGATTTCTCTCATCTATTTCTTCTCCTTCATCATCATCAGCACCATAATCATCATTGTCATCCTCTTCCTCCTCAACATCAGCATCATCATTCTCTTCACTTTTTCCCCAACTTGAAAATCGATTATCATATTGCGTTTCGTTGTTATTTTTGTTGGCAATAATGATTTGGTTTTCATCACTGTTAGCATTATCATCATCATCAAGATCACCGTCATCATCTTGTACACTATCATTTTCAATCACACCAATCATATCGTTTGGAAGTGTCACAATTGAAGGGATCTAGATTATACAAATATATGGTAATGAGAGAAATGAATGAAATAAATTTTGATATGAAATTCCCTTGAAATTTGATACAAAAAAGTACAAAAATAGTTGGTGCACATGATTATGTATCACATGAAATATAAATTATCAAAAAAAAATAATATTGGCAAGTGATATTAAACTTTGCTTAAATTGAAGCGAATGCCTCTATCATGGTATTTTACGAAATTTTTTCGATAATACCTCAGAAATGATAAAAAATGAACAGTTGTGAGAAATAATTAATGATAACCAATTTTATAGATTTATGTTCTTCGTAATGAAACCAGCTTTATATAAGAAAAAAAGCAGTTTGGTATCCCGCCAAAAAAAATACGGCAACATTATCTGTGGCAAAGAAATTAGTGAAACATCTGATTGAAAACTTCGGTGTCCCAACAACAATTACGAACGACCATGGGGCCCAGTTTGGAAGCGAACTATTCAGCAATTTACGGATACTTTCGGTGAAAAGAGGATTAGAACCAGAGCATATCATCCGACTGCTAACGGGATGATAGAAAGGTTCCATCAACAGCTAAAGGCCTCATTGAGTTTTTCTGGGAAGATTACAAATGATATGTCAAACTTCTTTGGTACTATCAGGCATTCGCTCAACTGTTAAACAAGACATCGGTTGTTGTGCTACTGAGTTGAGTTGGTTGATGGAACAACGTTACGTTTGCCTGACAAATTTTCTGACTGTCCAACCGACTATGTACAACAATTAAAACAACGAATCGTCGAACTACGGACCCAGAAAGTGAGATCATTCGCATCCATTAAACTGGACAAATGCTCACATGTATTCGTTAGAAATGCTGAAGTACGACAGCCCATACAGTCTTCACAACGGTTTTCCTAAAACCATCTGGAAAGATGGTAAACCAGTCACAATAGAAAGAGCAAGTAATCATGATATTGTTACCATCGATAGAGTGATACCAGAGTTTTTAGAGAGCGCTGAAAAACAGACAACGATGAAATTGTTTGAATGTACAGAAAAGCAATCACCAGACAAGCTATCTGCAACAAACAGTACTTCACACTTTAGGGTTTAGTGTTTTTTAAAAGTTGATATCAGTGTACAGAAATCGATATCAACTTAAGGATTTCTAAATAATCCACTAGTTTCTATTGTATACATAATCCATTCGTACAGTAATACTCATGGTAGTTTATTTAACACAGCTGAGTGATATAGGTTCGTATTCTTTAAACAGTAAAAATGACTAACAAGCTGACTTTCAAACTTCTACCATTAGATGTGTTCTAAACTTTCTTTATTTTAACAGGATGATAATAATACTGATAATAAACTGTTAGGTATGTTGACAGTGAGGTTAAATAAACGAAGTTATTAGGAAATTCTCTTAAAAACAAAGAAATTTTAATAATCGTTTGATTGTTAATGGCTTAAGTATTCATGAAAAAAAGATAGGAAAATTATCATTGTGAAAGGATGGTTCAGCATGATAAGATAAATGTTGAAATTCAGATTAAATGTAATGAGAATGATCGTAGAAACAAAATGAACCAGTTCGGGGTAGAAAATTTAAGGGGAAGATGGAGAGTGAAGCAGATGGTTGTGAAGGAAGAAGAGTATGAAAAAAGAGAAAAATAAAAAAATATAATACATCACAACTGTTGTAGAAAAAGAGGTTGTACCAGTTGCTTTTGCACACGATTTCTAATCTTTCAACAAATGAAATAGTAGTCACATAATGAAAGTTTTATTCTAATTTCAGTCGAATTAAATAGATTATTTCATTATAACAATGTCAGTAACCTTGTTATGCGTTCTTAATTAAAAAAACAATACAAATGTATAAACTTTTTTAATTTATAAGAAACGCTCATAAGCTATAAATGTTTTGAGCATCGTTTAGCTTGTATGGGGTTTTCAAGGTTATTTATTTATTTGAACACGTAAATGTTTGTACAAGGAGGCACCAAACAGATATGCGCCACATAAATCATTCGATTTATGTGAGGGCTGGAATACTACCCGGGTGCCCAGGCAGAAGTAGGTGGTTTTCTTAGGGGGCCACACCTCGAGTCTTCGACCTAAAGATCTGATCCACAAGGCAGGAAGTGCAGTCCCATGATAGCCAGTGACCAACAATTGGTTCATACACCGTTTGTTCCATCAGGGTTTTCCAACTCCGCTAGGTGGATCCTCCATATCCACCAACCCGGTTAAAGCAATGGACGTTCAGTTTCCGTCCTCTTAATTCCGTAAACCACAGTCCTTCCGCAAGAATACAGTGAGTGTATACGCGTGTACATGTGAGAGCATTTCGAGAGAGAGAGAACTCTCCACCTTCGGCCATACTATGGCATTTCGGGGCGTTTTCAAAGATAAAACAATAATATGGCTCTGCCAATCATCAGTAAAATTGAGACATAAGCTTAAATAAATTCATTTAATAGACTGATTTTCAGTTCAATAAATTATTTAGATAGATAACTTGAATATCAAGTGATTTAAACTATTATTTATGTCAAATAAAAGGTTTTTATAAGAAGCAACTCCTTTCAAAGGACTTGTAAAAATTGTATTTTCCAATTCATTTCCTGCAAAATCACTTTTTGATCAATCAGAAAAGTATGTAAAGATGATTAGTTTTGAATAAAAAACAACAGATATTTAACTGAAATGTGTACAATAGTTTAACGTCATTTATGGATTTCTCAAGTGTAACCTGAAAGTTCTTGGAATTCGAAATCGAATAAGCAAAATTATAAACATTTCATATATTTGGCTAACAAGTTCTATTCAATCAGTGCATTATATTGATGGAGAGAGCTTTACAAACATGCCTAAATTGGTTTAATATTTTTCGTGTGAATTAATTCTAATTCTACCGTAAGTTTTAATGCTAATTACTAATCTTAACCTGAATTTTTAACCTAGTTGTATTTCCTCACCTAAATCATATAAAATAATTTTGTGGAGCAGGCCTTTTTCTTGTGAATACGTTATCATTACATCACCATTGGAATTAGTAAGTATATGATTAATAGTCAATCTGTATATTTGTACCATGTGCTCATGACCTTAAAACTGAATTTTGACACCTGATTGGCTTATCACCGTACTCTACCATTAGTGTAGTTCATGCAAGGTGGAATTGTTGAAGTAATCAGTATTAAAATTAAGCTTACGGTATTAAATTAAGATCGGAGAATTCGTTGATTTGGTTGTATTAGTCAATTATATTAGTTAGGACATTATTTACACATATCTAGACACTATCTATACCATAATGCAATGTTGGCTAAATTAAACTGAGAATAAACAATATGGTTAAAAAAAGGAATTAATCATCTAAACTTACCAAATTCATTAGAATTCGTCCAGCTTGTTCCAATGCTTCTATTGTTTTTTCTTTATCATCAAGCCAGTTATCCGATGTGTCTAATTTTAAACTATCCAAAGCTGATGCAGTAAGCTATTATGTCATAGAATAAATATAATAAGATAAACGTTAATATACACAACATAGAAATTTTGAAATATAAATGAAAAGAAGATCGGGCGCAAGCAATGTAGAACCTACGTACATACACTCATCAGCTCAAGATGTCAAATCAAATCAAAGTAAATCGAGATAAATTTGACATAACAAATACTAGTTAGAGTAATAAAAGTAGTAACAGTATCAGTGGTATTAGAAAAAATCAAACATGGACAATGTTATTCGTGAAGAGTAAATCGATTCGTGGGATAGGAACGTAAATGGTACTCTTCAAAACTACGTCCTGAAGGAATAATACAAAGAGTGAATTTATATGTAAACTGTGACCAAGAGTAATGCCACCAAACGTTCTTAATTATTGGTTGGGATGATTGCGTGAACTTTAAACAGATAGTCTGGATCAACTTAAACGACTCAGTGTAACGATTAATGATTTAATAAACTGACGATATAACTAGAAAACATAAATCATAAAAGACAATACAAAATGGTATTAGCTATATTAGTAAAAATTGTAATTGACAAACCATACTTATGCACGGTACTATTGATTTTTTCTCGTCGGCATTGTTTCATCACTGCGATGGCATCTTTATGCCAAAACAAATGTACGATTTAAAATAAATAGTCTCTTTGATAAATATCGATAATTATCAGAAGGGGTTTTGGAATTACTAAAATCTCCACAAAACCTTTTCTGATAATAAACATCTACTCACTAGTGACTGACTACAAGAGGCATTTCCTGGAGTTATAGTGAGAAGCCGTGACCAGTGAAATTGAACCAGGTCTGTTGTGAGATATCAGCTCACTAAAGACAATGGTGTAAGGTGACGCAATTTCGTGGATTGGTTCAAATTAGACATTAACACCGTTGGATGCCGGTCGGCACAGTGGTTTAATAGTTAAGCGCTCGCGCGCGAGACTGATAGGTCCTGGGTTCGAACCTCGCGGTGGGGGCGGGATCGTGGATGTGCACTGGTGGGGAGCACCACAACAGGACGAGATGGCCGTCCAATACTTCCAAGTTTTCCATGGTGGTCTAGCTTCATTTGACTCATGATTTCAACCATCGAATTTTCGATAATGAAATGAGAAGACGAAGTTTATCAGAATTATGTGATATACTTGAGCAATATATTTCGAACAATCTGATCACATATTCTTGTTAAAACATTTTTATATGAAAATTAAAAGGTCAACTAGACAGGTTAAAGGTAAGCCATAACAAAGAAAAAAAAGTACACAAAAACAATATGATAACCATTCAGGATAATAGATCTGTATTACCAGGGTTAGTTACGGATAAGTACAAATTAATTATGAACGCATAAAAGGGGTTTCAATTTCCGTATATCCAAGGCTTCATTAATAAACCTTAGTATACATCCTTGAAAGCTTTTGTACAACATTACAAATGTTGACTTGATGTCAAAACGTTATGTTAAATCTCAATCAAATATTTCGCAATGAAAGATGATGTCTGTCTATCTTGTGATTTTATTTCAAATTTGATAATAAAATCCTCAACAAACTGGAAGTTGTAGACTTACTTTGATTGAATTATGATAGAAATAAATACCTTCAATCATTCAATACAACATCATTCAACCAACTAGCGTTTAATGATTATCATTTTATTATAATTTGATCAATAGAATATAGTATATATATATATATATATATATATTTCAAAGAATAATGGTAACACAATTCATGTTTAAAAAGAAAAGGTAACATTTTACAAACATATACATACAGATACATAAATAGTATTTTTATATTTTTATGTGGCCCTACTCTAAAACATTCACTTGTCGCATATTTTATAGAATAAATTCAATGCCAAATTTATATATGACATAATGATATTGGTTTATCTAATCCACAATGATATTGCACAATAATAATAATAATAATCATAGATTAGTACAATGATTCATTGAAATGTAAATCAATAAATGTATTAGCAGGTAATATTATAAAGGTGAAACTGTAGTGATCAAGAACACCAGTGGGGGACAATCGAATAGTAATTGTAAATACAAAATTACAGAACTTGTTAATAAAATCTAACAATCAAATAAAAAATGCTTAATTTGCAAAAATGTCCATCAATTGTCTGTAAATGACTCAGACTTAATTGTTCTTGCATGTTCATACAAATCGCATTCTGTTTCCATTCTTTATTGTTCGGTCCTCTTGTCTCTCTGCTGCCAAACATTGTGTTTACGACTAACGTCATATACTACATATATGGATATAAGTAGCCCACACCACACTCGTCCCCACCCCTTTAAAGCATTTGTTCCTGCGGTGGTTCTGCTCACCGTGCCACTTTCTTCTTCTCTGCAGTCTGTGCCACGCCCTCCGTCAAAATGACGAGTCTGCAGAGCGCTGACCTCCATAGCTCCGTCGACCTGCCGGGGAACCACCAACATCCATCCGGCACCTGGGATGTTTAACACCCGTGCTCCGCCGGTATGCTGAGCCATTTACATCAGATGTCCGCTCAGTGGCATCCGCACGTCCCATCGTTCCTCTCCGTCGACAGCACCCACCACAACCAAAACCGCCCCACCAGAAGACTCAACTCGACGCCACCACTCCGCAATAGACTTCCCCAACTAGCACCTAAAATCCAGACATATTGTTTCCATTCTTTACTGTTCGATCCTCTTGTCTCTCTGATGTCAGATATTCTGTTCCTGACTAACATCATATACTACTTATATAGATATAAATGGACCTCACCACAAAACTTGATACTTTCGAATAAATTGTGAATGGAAAATAACATTTGTGACGTTTCCTAAGTCAGTGTTAGTTACTAATTTAGGGAGTATGTAAATTAAACGAATTAAATTATCTCAATTTTAAATATCATATAAGAACAAATGAAAATATTTTGTGAAAGTCAATCACTTATTGATTCAGTGTTTTTTTCCAGACATGTTTGTGTATTCTTGTGTTAATGAGTGTAACATTCGTGATATAAACAGTTGAATTTGTATGTATGATAGTAGTATGAGATGTGAATAGAAACAGATATGGCAGTTTGGATAGATTGTCCTAGTTTGATGGATGGTAATGTTTTCATTTCTATTGAGGGGATTAGGACTTGGCAATATTTGAAAAGTTACAGCTACTCGCTTTTCCTTAGAATTGTGAAAACCTACACGAATTATTTATTATTTTTAATACTGATTTAGTGGTCAATAAAAGTAGCACAGACTACAAGCTACAACTAAAATACCAATTATACGAGAGTATGTGCAGCCTGGTGTCACAATATACACGGATGATTGGAGAGCATATTGATGCCTATCTAGAGTTGGTTATGTGCATCATATTGTCGTTCACAAACAACATTTTGTCAAACCCATCAGAGGAGTGGTGGTGGTTAAAAGAATTTTTGCGACCTTACCATGGTCTCCGGAGCTCGACTATTGTGGAGTTACATGGATGAGTTTCTATATCGTATGCATTACAATTTCAGAACTACAGAGTCCCATTCTAATCTTGAAAAGTTTTTAAAAGCATTTTCAAGAAGTATATCCACTATAAGTTTTTGGTTTCGCATAAAACATTCTTACTCTCTACTGACTTTTCTGATTGGTTGAAGTTTCTCAAGGTAACTTGAGATTATAGTCTCGCAATTATGTCATAAGTAAGGAAATAATTCACCTATGACATAATCATTTGTGTATACTTACGAACTTTTACAAAATGTTTGCAACTAATCGAAAACCAAATTACTGAGACACTTAAAAAGTTATACCATGTTGATTTAGAGACATTTCTCTCATCTCTTATTTAGAGGTATAATCATCGTAGAATACATATGTCAAATATGTTTAGCAATAAGCAAAGACAAGTTATGGGGATATTTACAGATGAATATAAATAGCAGTAAACGATTGTTTAAAAACTATTTATTCGTGAAATATTGACAAAATAATGAACTTTAGCCTGGGAAACGTGTCTTCCTAAGAATTTATTTAATGCATGAAGAAAAATAGAATAATAACGATATATAAATAAGAATAATACTACTATTATAACCACTAATATAACAACAGTTGCTCATTAATACTAATACTATTGTTAGGCTTACCTCACTTAATACTTTAACCAAATAGATTTCGTTGGATAAATAAGTGATAACATCCGGATCCGTGAATAGTAAATTAAGGAATAAATAAAATACTTGATATGCAGCAGTATTTGTTTCATAAATAAAATTGGAATTTAATAGTTTGAATAAATCAACATCATTGGAATCTTTAAATGAAATAAAAGAAAGAGTGAGAAATGAGTGACCGAAAGTGATAATCACATTAGAAAAAAAGCATTCATCGTGGTTTGACATTAGTCGAGATACAACTGAAAACTATGGGCATTTATCCCATCCTAGAAAAGAATTCATCAGCCAAGAGTATTCCATCTGATTGAGATCACAGTATGTGATGAATATCATTAACACATTAATTTAATCTTCACAAAATTTACTTCTATCAAAAAGCTGTACATCAAATTATTTCGATCAAACAACTTCTTTGTAGTTTGCCTCAATATAACCGTTTCACCTCAAGCTTTCAGAATAAATGGATCTTGGCTAACAATGGAATTCACGATGCGCATTTCCTTCTATTTGTGCTTTCATCAGCTGGGTGTAGTACCTGGATCTTATTGTTGACATTCGTTTTAGAACTCTAACTTAGCACTCACCCTACTGAATCCAGTGAGTCAACGAGGAGGATGTCTATATCATTAAAAAAAGGGTTTTAGTGGTTCAAACATCATCTACCTGTTTTAAATAAGAAAAATAATAAAATGAATGAGTTAAATTAGTGAACTACGGTTATGGTAATGAAAGGGGGATTATATAACTTGCGTATACGTAATACCTTTCTATTTTAATTCATATAGATACATTTGAATCAGTCTGAAAAGTCACTGATTCATTTATTTCACTAGTACTCTTTGTGAATTCCATTCACTATGACAAATACATATTTATTGCAATAATTAATTTTTTTTTACGGATATATAAATGGCATAAACGTTTCAGAAAGTAGAAACTCGTAAAGAAAAAGACAAATTTCTTATATTGTTGAAATTAAACAAAATATTGGAAGGAGATTAGTCCCTTTTTGAAGGAGAAAACAAATAAAGAGAATTCATCGAAGAACATTTTTCTCTTGACGAAACCATTCAGTTAAGTTGTACATTCGTATTTATAGTTATACGGAAAATATATGTCTATAGAAGGATAGAAAAGATTGCATCATAAAATAGATTCGAGACTCATATTGTCACAAAGAAACTCATTTGACCTTGAAGAGAAATTGTTATTGCCTTAAGCTTTAGTTATATACTAACAAAATTACTCAGATGATAACTTATAACTTAAAAGGCTGACGAAATATTACGTATTTATTATACTAGCCTAATAACCGAATGAATTAAAGTTAAAGTAAGTAGGAGAGATTGAATACAAGAGAAAATCTTTCATTTTAACTCTATTCACGGTGTCATACCAAATGTGTAAGTTTCACTGCATTTTTCAAATACAGTAAGTTTTCGATAATCATTGAAAATCCTTTCTAACTGGTTCATACAATTTAAGAAATCATCTAAGAAACATAAAATATAAACTACTTTCGTTTGATTTGAAAATTTTCGATACCATAGGATAAGTCAATTATGGCTCAGTCATACATCTAGCTTAATAGGACTGTCAATACTAATCCGGTATGCCATTCCTATCCTACAGTTTGAAATATCCTTCAACGATGTGGGCAACCGAGAAGTATCGTTCACAAATTTAGAACAGTACTTGAAAGGCGTTTACCAAACAGAAATAATAATAATAATAAGGGCGATTACAGATTCTAAAGGTAACTTACAGCTAAACAGAAGACGTATACGTACAGATTTTAATGAATCTGACACCTGTAATAGACGTTCCAATAATTTTAATATACTGTCTAAATCACACGGATGCAAAATGGAATAAACTAATTCCCTGAGAATAAGATCTGAAAAATTCATATTTTCATAAGAGAGGAACTATAGAAAAGAAAGCAAACAAATACACGAAAAAATAAAAAAAAGTAGGCAAAATGAAAAGATAAAACAAGATCGATAGAAACATCTTTTAAATAAAAATGTTTTATTGTCCCGATATATATTTAACATTTAGTAAGTTATGGAATCCAGGATGAGTGTATTGTCCGACCTGACTGGTAATTTTAATATATTTAAGAACTTGTATCGGGGTTCACATTGAGAAGCGAACACAGAGAACATCTTCCTTTAAATGAACGTGTTATCCACTGAGCGATTGAGTCTAGGTGGTCACTAACTGGTTGAATAAGTATAGAGGTATTAGTCGTGATTTGTAATTTCTCATTGCTGATATGCTGAATTGTGACCGAGTATTTACAGTTCCTATATGTTAATCGGCTAAATTTATTGTTATGCCACACGCTTAAGTATATCAAAAATAATAAATCTTGAGATTAAACATGTCGAAACATTCCGCTCAATATATGGGAAAAGGAACTGGTCAATCGCAGTCATGCATATAACAAGAACAGGAGATAATCTAAGTCTACGAATT